TAATTAATTGTTAAGATTTTATATTTATATCTAATTAATTACTATTTACATAAAATAAGTTTTTTATTTAAATAACCTCAATTTTTGAAGGAAAAAAAAATCGTTAAAATTTTATATAAATGTAATGTATAAAATTTGTACATAAGTGAGTTTTTATTTTTATTTAATATTTATTATAATTATCTTTTTAACATAAAAATAAAATAAGAATAATTGTATTAAATGAAAATTTTAAAAAATAAACAATTAAATTTCAATACCTCAAATTAAAAATTAAGTCTAATAAAATTAAACAAATAGAGTAATAATAAGACTGATAATTATAGTTAAAAAATAAAAATAAAATTAAAAAATTATCTCTTTTAAAATAGAAAAAAATAACTATTGTGTTTACAAGGTGAAGTAATTTTGAATAATTTTAAGGTTTATTTATTAATTTGACATAATGTATTAAATATAATGTGACGTATTTAATACATCATGAGGGTAAGGGTCGGCAAAGGTAAGACGGTACTGTAAATAAACAAATTAATGGGGCTACCCACTTGGCTGGATTTGAGCTACCCGACCTAAATGTGGAAAGCTGATTATGTAAGAGAATCATACAAAATCAATCTGGATTTTCTTTCTCAATGATGGAACGGTAATCTTAATGTAGGCATTCACAAAGGAAGAGGAAAAGAAATAGTAACAACAAATACATATACAGTACATTATTTGTGTCATAATAATTGTTTTTTTTTTAAATTAAAAATTTAAAAATTATTTATATATTTATTTATATTACTTTCAAAAAAATTTAAAACTAAAATATAATTTTTTGTGATATACTAATTAATTAAAATAAATAAATAATAATAAAATTAAAGTAAAAAGTATTTATATATTTTAAAAAAATAAAAAAAATAACGATTAATTTAAAATAAATTTAAAATAAAAAAAATGACAATTTTTTTAAAATAAAAGAAGTATATAATTTGTTTTCAACACAATGGTCCGCAGCCTGTGAAGTACATGACAACGGATTAATGAACAACCTTGTTATTTTACTGATAATAAAGGAAAAATTTCACACAAACGATCTTAATTATTCTGCTTATGTAACAATAACTATAATTAATTGTATCATGCCCTAATTGTGTTAACTACATATAAAATAAATTTGTCTCTAAAACACATACATCCTTTATTACATGCATGACCAACCATAAAATTTAACAATTCCAAAAATCATAATTCTCAATCACCCCAATCTAGAAGTACATATTTGTAACACGTTGGTTCCATGTTTTTGATAACATTAAAATTAACCAAAAGGAACGGCAGATAGTAAACGAAGGATAAACCAAAAGAGGAGAGCATTATATGTAGGGTCCATTAAAGAAGATAGACTCCATATCTTCATCTCAATAATAATTCCCTCCTCCATCCATCACCATATTTGTATGTGTTCCCACTTGTAAGGAATGGACATACATAATCCACACAGCTTTTTTCCGTATTCACAAACAATACGGTACTCCTCACACGACATACTCATGCTTCTCAATTAATCTAATCCCTTTGATTTGATTAATACTAATAATTCAAAAAAAAAAAAGAAAAAATAAATCAAAACCATGTCTCGAAAGCAAAACCAAAACCGAAATAGAAAACCATTGGTCCATCGTCTCGAGCACTCGGGTTTAATCAACCTGGTAATGAGGGTCCCTTTAAGAGACAGAGGACATGTCCGTACAAAATCATCCCATCTAGAGAGAGATTAGAATGGGATTCAATTAATTTACTAGTCACCGTCGGATTGAGACTAATTAACGGCTCGGATGCATTATCACAGTGCATGAACTAGAGGGAAAAGGCAAGTTCTGGGGGTGGGGGTGGGGATGGGGGGGCAGATAATGTCCACAAGTTTGGTTGGGGAAAAAAAAAATTGAAATAATTGGTGGGGGTCGATATATTACTAAGGTGAACCTAGCCAATAAAGACAAAACCCGAGTTTAGGGAAGGAGAAGACGAATCAAATCGCGCCAGGTAATATT